GAACAGCCACGGATCCTGAATATAACAGTCTAATTCCAGTGCAGCTTCGTACAAACCACCAACAGTCCCTCAGAGTCCTGAGAGATTCTTCAAACTACCAAGAATAACAAGGGTGCTTGTTTTGAATATTCCAGGAAGAATCAGAAAAAAGTCCCAACCAAATTCAAACAAAGGATATAGAAATTCCCCCCTTTCCCCTCATCCCCCTGCCCCACCGCTGCCTCCACCGAAAAGGACCGCCCCTGGTCACGAACGCTCCTCATCGGCCCCAACTTGGGACAGACCCATTCACCCCCCTACTCCCACAAAGGCATCCAGTTCCCACCCAAAGTATGCCTCTGCCAACCCCTTGCCCTTATCTGCCTCCGCTGGGATATGATGCCGACCCATACATCTCCCACAGCCCCAGAATAGAGCATCCCCCAAAATCTGCCCCGTCTCCCTTCATGGCAATCACCTCCTCGTGAAACCCCTGCAGAGTCGAGCTCTCCCCCAACCCACCCCCTCACCATAAGTAATTTGTTTACACTAAAGAGGAGAATCAGAATTCCAGACGTTGCTGTAGATTATTTCCCCCCTCCCCTACATCTCTCCCCGTCCCTCCGTTGCTTCCACCGAGAAGGACTGCCCTGATCATAAGCTCTCTGAGGGACCGTATAGTGGATCGCTGGGCAAGACAGCTAAATGTTCCACTAGAAGCCCTGAGACCAATAAAGTGGTTTAAGGAGACAAAATCTAAACCGGCCAAGACTGCCTCCCTTCAATGGCAGATCGCCCATCGTTGTCTACCCACAAATGCATGGCTCATCGACCATACTCACCTAGAGCAGAAAGGCTTAGCCCTTCCTTGGTGCTCGGCCTGCTTGGAGGGCTTTCCCTCCCGAAAAGCAAACGAGACGATAAAACACATCTTCCTACAGTGCCCAGCTTCTATCCTGGTCTGGCGAGGATGCGTTCGGATTTGGAACCAACTACACACTGATAGGGACTGCCGTGGGAATGGAGAGCCCTCCTGACCGGATATTGGACCACGCAAATCTCGGCCTTTACGGCCAACTTATTCAGAATTGGGAGGGAGGCTGTTCTATGGGCCATATATGGTGTCGCAGATGTATTCTAGTACTGGAAGGTGCCCACATGGAAAGTGGCAAGATGATGGAAATGATCAAGGACATGATAGAAACAGTAATAAGAGCCCAGTGGGAAAAGACGAAACATGTTACGAAAGCTCTCACCAAAAGATCAGACATTATCCAGGAATTAACAGAATTCTGCATAAACTGGCTGGGGGGGGAGCAGGGTGGATGGATTGCAAGGGTCCAACGGGATGGTTGGCAACGGGATAGTAACGATCGTTTGGACACATCACAGAAAAATTATCGATTGATTTTCCATGAGTGGACTGTAATCTCCACTGATATCCCACTCCCCCCTGCCTCTGAATTCCCAGACCTATTCCCCCCACCCAATAACGCCCTGGTGGAATTGAGTTGGTATGGTCGCGATGCAGGGGAACCCGCCCAGCAGTGCCCTAGGTGAGACCTGTCACAGGCTGTCTGCCCCAGTAGCCCCCTGGGTGCGGAACCAATCAGCCTCTCTGCCTGCTCTTCACATTAGACCGGTCCACCTGAGACACTACTGGGATGACTGGTACCCAGGTCCGGGTCAATAAATCGATGGGCTTCCAGGGAAATTTGTGCCCTACTGCACCCTGCTCAGTCAATCCTCTGGTGATCCAGAGTAATCAATGCTGGCAGGCCCAATGCTTTCCTTGTTCTGATTCATTTGTACTACTCTGTTTCAGGGACGCTGGACCCGTTTTTCAGCAGGTGATGCTCCCCACCAATAGATGGAGCCTCTTTACAAGGTGCTAGTAGTGTCTGCTCTTACCAGCACCACTAGCACCAGACAGAGCTGTTTTTTTTTTTTCCGTTTTTTTTTTTTTTTTTTTTTTTAAAAAG